CGATTGGCAGGGGCGCGGGTGGTTCAGAGTCAGAAAAAGGGTCCGGCACCTTGGTGTCACGGGCTGCGCAGAGGATTATGCTGGTGTTTGGCTTGATCGCCATTGAGACTGCAGCTCCTGAGGCGGTGTCTAACCACCCGTCCTTGATTGGCGCAGTTGGCTCCGAGCTAAGGGTCGGAGCTGATGTGGGCGCGGCCTCTGGGGTACTGTTCGGCGGCAGAGCTAGGTCATACCCATCGCGACAGTGCGGCGTGCCTGGCTATGGCTCGAATCCGTCGAAGATCAAGTCTCCGCGGATGTCGGCCGTGTAGTTCAAACTTCCAAATCTGACCTGATGGCCAGGGGCGTAGCTTTCAATCTGCTCCAGATGGCCAAGCGAATTAGCCCGCAGTGCAAAGCCGCTGAATACAAAGATTTGTCCGAGGAGAAAAGTCTCACCCTGGACCGCATCGCTATCGATGATAGTAGGAGCCATCAAGCCTAACGGCGATGACACAGAGGAACTCTCAATGAAAGCACCAATGTCGGTGTCAAAACCGGCGGATCTCGGGTAGGGGGTCCCAAACTATGCGTCTAGGCCGGATGGTAACAGGAGGCAGGGGACACGAAGTTTTACCCAGGTTCAGGCCCTCTTGAGGGAGGTAAAACCCTACGTCCTGCTTGATTAATATTGATGATATGGGTAGTACAAGAGTAGATCTACCACGAGATCAGAGAGGCTAAACCCTAGAAGCTAGCCTATGGTATATGATTGTATGTTGTGATTGTTGTCCTACGGACTAAAATCCATCAGTTTATATAGACACCGGAGAGGGTTAGGGTTACACAAGGTCGGTTACAAAGGAGGAGATATCCATATTCATATTGCCTAGCTTGCCTTCCACGCCAAGTAGAGTCCCATCCGGACACGAGACGAAGTCTTCAATCTTGTATCTTCATAGTCTAACAGTCCGACCAATGGAGATAGTCCGGCTGTCCGGAGACCCCCTAATCCAGGACTCCCACAGTTATACATACATAGAGTCACGGGCCAGGTGCTGTGATTGCTGCTCTGCTCCCCGAAAGGATTAATGCCATCCACGCTTAAACCAAACCGTACGTTCCTTGGGTCACCTGCAAACTCAGCCCAGTACTTTCTCTCGATTTTTCTCCACTGTGACCCGTCAGCGGGTGCTCAACTTCCCGTCTTTCTTACGGTCCTCTCTGTGCCATCGCATCAACTTGGCATGCTCTTCGTTTCTGAATAGACGTTTCAACCGTGGTATTATAGGAGCATACCACATCACCTTCGTAGGAACCCTCTTCCTGGGGGGCTCGCCGTCAACATCACCAGGGTCATGTCGTCTAATCTTATACCGCAATGCACCGCATACCGTGCATGCGTTGAAATCCTCGTACGCACCACGGTAGAGGATGCAGTCATTAGGGCATGCATGTACCTTCAGCACCTCCAATCCTAGAGGGCATACGACCTTCTTTGCTGCGTATGTACTGTCGGACAATTCGTTATCGTTTGGAAGCTTCTTCTTCAATATTTTCAGTAGCTTCTCAAATCCTTTGTCAGACACAGCATTCTCTGCCTTCCACTGCAGCAATTCCAGTATGGTACCAAGCTTTGTGTTGCCATCTTTGCAATTGGGGTAAAACCCTTTTTGGTGATCTTCTAAGATGCACTAGTAGAAAACGGAGTTTTAAAACCGGTTCATAAGGGCCTTTAGTGCCGGTTCCATAACTGGCACTAAAGGGTGGGCAATAAAGCCCCCCCCCTTTAGTATCGGTTCGGCACGAACCAGCGCTAAAGTGCCACCACATGGCATGAGCTCGCGCCCTGGTATGGGGGACCTTTAGTATCGGTTGGTGTTACCAACCGGTACTAAAGGTTTTTTTTGAAAATTTTGGAAATTTTTTTTGATTTTTTTTCAATTTTTAATGTTTCTAAATTATTTGATGATTTAGTCTCTAATCACCTCTCTTAACTGCTCAAGTGTGGATCACTCATTCCAAATCGCCTAACTTCCCGGTCGGTCACCCATCCTCTCACTCCCTCAGCCTGAGCACGCTTAACTTCAGAGTTCTATTCCCCTACATTCCAAGTCTGCACTTGTTGTTTTTCTGACAAATTAAGCTGTCAATCCTATTAGCTCTCAGCAGTTTAGCTTGAGCATTAGGTCACACGTTTCACCGTTTGAGTTTGAGACTATTATTCTAGAAAACAATAATTATTTAGTAACACTAATATTTTTTGAATAAGTTTGACCATAGTTTGACCAGATTTGACCAAAATTCAAAAAATTGAAATAATTATTTAGTAACACTAATATTCTTGAATAATTATGTAGTGACATTAATACTTCTTGAATAAGTAGTTTGACCAGATTTAACCAATTTTTTTTAAAAAAACTAAAATTTGACCATATCATTTTTTTCCTTTTGGAATTTGAGGATTCTAAAAAATTGCAAACAAACCGTAGGTGGTCTCCATTGGATGCGGATTTTTGTGCTGAATTTTTTAATATATTATACGTTTTTTTTCGACATCGTATGCAAAAGTTATAGCCGTTTTACATTTTCCCTACACTTTTTGCAAAACATGTCCAAATTTAAGTTTTCAAATTTTCCTAACTAGTAGATGTAGTAATATAACTACCTCTCGAAGGATTTTATTTTTTTGAAGTTTTTATCATTTTCTTTTGATTTTTTTAAAACTGAAATGGTGATAAGGGTGGGGGGGGGGTAGAGTTTGAAAATTGCCCCCTTGAGTGTGGGTTCGTGGCACGAACCGGTACTATAGATTAGACCTTTAGTACCGGTTTGTGTCACAAACCGGTACTAAAGGGGCTCATGGGGACCCGGCCTGACGCCAGCCTGCCACTACCCCTTTAGTACCGGTTCGTGGCACGAACCGGTACTAAAGGCTCAACACGAACTGGTACTAATGCATATGGTGCCTTTAGTGCTGGGCCAACTTCAAACCCACACTAATGTGTCTCACATTAGACCCTTTTTCTACTAGTGATGCGATCGAACTTCAGCTTCTCCTTTTGACTTTCGCACTGTGTTCTTGCATCAACAATGACCCGGCGGAGATCATCATCATCGGGCACATCGTCTGGTTCCTCTTGATCTTCAACAGCTTCCCCTATTGCAGCATGTATTCAGGGGGCACATAGTTGTCATCGTCCTCTTCTTCTTCGCTGTCTTCCATCATAACCCCTATTTCCCCGTGCTTCATCCAAACATTATAGTGTGGCATGAAACCCTTATAAAGCAGGTGGATGTGAAGGACTTTCCGGAGAGAGTAAGACTTCATATTCCCACATATAGGGCATGGACAACACATAAAACCATTCTGCTTGTTTGCCTCAGCCACTTCGAGAAAATTATGCAGGCCCTTAATGTACTCGGAGGTGTGTCTGTCACCATATATCTATTGCCGGTTCATCTGCGTGCATTATATATAATTATGTGTGTCAAAAGTAAGAAAATTAGACAAGTATCTATCTAAAGTAAGAATTCTTTTTCTTTCAGAAAGAAGATAAGAATAAGAGGCTCACCACGGTGGTGCCGGCGACGAGATCAGCGCGGGCGATCGACGGCGGTGAAGACGGGGACGGGACGTGACAGACCGCTAAACCTATGCAAATCTCGGCGAAAATGGAGCTTGGAGGTCGAGCTTCGAGAGGAGAAAACTTAACTAGCGTGACTCGGGCATTTCATCGAACACCTCATGTGCATAGGAGGTGAGCTAGAGCACCCAAGTGCCCTCCCCTCGCCGGGCAGAAAAAACAGAGCATTATGGAGTGCTCTGCTGCGGCGAGGAGGTATATATAGGCAACTCATTTGTCCCGGTTCAAGGCTGAAACCGGGACTAAATCTCCCCCTTCTGTCCCGGTTCGAGCCACGAACCGGGACCAATGTATGTGGCCCAGGAGCGAGGCCCATATTGGTCCCGGTTCGTGCCAGAAACCGGAACAAATGGGTCCAGACGAATCGGGACCAATACCCACGAGGCCCCGGCCGGCCCCCTAGGCTCACGAACTGGGACGTATGCCCCATGGGTCCTGGTTCGTGACTGAACCGGGACCAATGGGCTGGTCAGGCCCCAAGCAAAGCCCTGTTTTCTACTAGTGTAAGGGAGGAGGGGGAGGGGGGGCGCTAGTAGTGGTGGATAGAGGTTGTATTGACTTTTTTTATTAAGGTTTTGAGATTACCCCATATCTTGTAATTTTTAAACATAGAACAATCAAATATGATATGAACAAACATAATTTTTAAAAAGCAAAGCAGAGAACAAGCTGGACCAGTCCTACAAGGGAAAAAGAGTGAAAATACTAAGACATGACACCACTTAATTTCTAATGTGCTGAGGTAATAGTACATATACACCTGTCGGTCTGCGGAGCAGCCTCCATCCACATGGCATCAGCGTCCGCACGCGGCACTCACACATACACACACATATATACCTGTCGATCTGCCGCCGCCATGACATGTGTCGTCCTGAAGCTCGAGCGGGGTAGAAAAAAAAGGAAGGAGAGAGTGCACGGCAAGAAGGAAGATATAAAGGAAGGAGGGAGTCGCCACGCACTCACCTTTGTCGTCCTCTAGCTCCAGCGGGAGAGAGATCAGACATACACGGTTGCACCTTTAGGTGCAGTGCCGAACATCTTCTGCTGATTTGTTTTGCATGCTGACAAAAGTGTAATGCTGCTGGCAGCCCTAGGCCATCCGTATAGCACGAGTGATGTCAGGAGTGTGGAGTGGAAACTGACCCAAAAAAACCTCGGGGAGCACGTCAACTCTCCCCTTCACATATCACACGGAGAACACACGCAGACTTAAAAAAACCTCGCGGAGCTTCCTCCCCCTAATCTCCCGGTGCTCCTCCCCCCTCTCCCGGCTCAGTTTCCCCATTCCCTCGACCCCCAGCGGCAGCCTACGCCCTACAGCCTACAGCTTCCCAGACATTGACACAGAACCCAGACCCCGCCGGCTAACGCATGGCCCCGAAGGCGCCGAGGAAACGCGCCAGATACTGCTGCGGCCTCTGCGGCCTCCCAAAGAAGGGCCATATCTGCCGCTTCGCCGGCGGATCGTCTTCGGCGAGGGTGGTGCAGGGCCGAGAAGAAGCGGCGCCGCCGACGGACCCTGCTCCTGCTGGCGCCAAGGAGGAGGTCACCATCATCACCGCCCTCCCAAACGACGTCCTGGGCACCATCATCTCCGCGCTCCCCATCGACGAGGCCGCCCGCACAAACGCCATCTCCAAAGGCTGGAAACACCTCTGGCACGACTACACTCCACTCAACCTCGACGACCGTGACCTCCACAAAATGGCCTGGACCGGAGACAACCTAGTCGACCTTATCTCAGACATCCTCAAGGCTCCACGCGAGGTACGCGCCCGTCGTCTTTCTCTCAGCACGCTTTGCCGTCACTCGGGCGACCGAGACCGCTACCCCATCTTCGACCGCTGGTTCCGATCCAAGGTTCTCGATCAGCTCCAGGATTTTCATTTCAGCTACCAGCGGGTGAACAACACCGAACCACTTCAGGCTGGCGACTTGATGCCACCGCTGCCGCCATCCGCGCTGAGCTTTTCCTCCCTCCGCGTCGCCAGCTTTGGGTGCTGCCATTTCCCTGAGAATATCTTAGCCTCGGGCGGCATCAGTTTCCCATATCTCATCGACCTCACTCTCTGCCGGATCACAAACTCCGAGAACACACTCCACACCATGATCGCCGCATCTCCAAATCTCTTCAGCTTGTACCTTCACAGAAACTATCACTTCCGCCGCGTCCACATCAGCTCGCAAACTATTGTAAGGTTCCGCATGTTCATTGACCCAGATAGTGATGTGATGGAAGAACTCCTCATTGTCAAAACTCCAAACTTAGAGGAACTGATGCTCTGGGAGCAAGGTTATTGTGGTCCACAAATCATACGTGTCCTCGTTGCCCCAAAACTTCACATCTTGGGTTGCCTGCACAGTGATATCATGTCCACCGTACAGCTTGGGATGACAATGCTCCAGGTACGTATGTATCTAGGAGCCACTTAGGGCATCTGTATATATCATTCTTTTGCAATCTTACTTACATACATATATAGTCACCACTTTTATTATCAATATTCTTTCATGTTTTGATGATTGATCCAGGCAATGCTTGACAGCAGTCTAGTGTCATCGCTGCATAATGTAAAGATCTTGAAGCTCGTTCTCCATGGTCTTAGGTTAAATCATGTCATTGACGTCCTCCAATGCTTTCCCTGCTTACAACAGCTTCACATAAATGTGAGTTGGGTTGACCCTTTCTTTCTTTTTGCAATCTTAGTTAGGTTCCATATATGTACTCACTATATATCCATTCCTATGTTGAGTAGGTCTACTCTAAATTATTCTCTTGCTTCGTTTTCAGACACTGATGAGCCATATTCCAAACAAGCAGAACGACAATCCAGCTGCTACTACTGTTGAGTGTGTTGATAGACATTTAAAGCAAGTAGTAGTGAGAAATTATTCAGGCAAGAAACCTGATTATAACTTTGCCAAGTTTTTTGTTTTGAACGCAAGAGCGCTAGAGTCCATGAAGCTCCATGTCCCTTTTAGCTGGAACAACGAATGGCGCTCTAGACAACGTATCAAGATGGATTTTAAGAACAGAGCTTCTCCAAATGCTTTGGTTTATTTTGAGGGTACCGAGTGAGCACATGATCAACCGCGCAGACGAAGTGTCAATTTGTGTACCCCTTTGGCACATAAGTTATGTTTTTTTTCACAGTTAACTGTTGCCGGTTGTCGTTCCATGTAGTTTGTAGAAACAGAAAGGTTACTTTTATTTGTACTTAATAACGTGAAGTTTACTTGTGAAATTTCTATGATATATGAACCATACCAACTACAAGTCTTTCCTTGTGGAAGTGTATTGAGAATTGTGCAAGTCTGCATTGTTCCACCGAAATGATGTGAGTATGATGAATTACCTTGACTTTATGGAAAAAGAATGAGTTCATGATTATTCCAATTTATGGCTAATAGATAGAAGGTTCCTTAGGTTATCTCCAAAGCTAACCCGCAAATAGCTTTGCTATATGTCCGCTTTTATGTCCGGACGTGGTCTGCGGACAAGATGCGGGAGCCGCCCATCCAACCGTAGACGCAAACATCCGCCTCTAGTAATGATTTTTCAAGAAATTAATTCTGCCAAATTATCTTCAGCCAATAGAAAATCGACCTTCCGCCAAATAGAAATCAACCTTCCATCATTTGAATAAACCTTCCGCCATTTGGGGTATAATTATAGAAAAATAATTACTCCCGTAATTTGAGGTGTGGCAGTTAATGTGGATTTCTTTCCTCTTTTAATACAACGAGCTAATTAATCCGGATGAATTAACGGAGTAATAATTAAGGGTGAATAGTGCCAATGTTCCATGACTTGTTTAGTGGCCATCTACAACTATTCCACCTAAACTTTGGGACAATAACATTGTTGGTAAAGAAGGAGGAGGCAGCGCGTATTGAGCAGTTCAGGCCGATATGTCTGCTCAATGTGAGCTTTAATTTTTTTTACTAAAGTTGAGACAAACCGATTGACACGGATTGCACATAGTGTGGTGCAACCAACTCAGACGGCTTTCATGTTGGGCAGAAACATACTAGAGGGTGTGGTTGTCCTACATAACACACTTCAGGAGATCCACTCAAAAAAGCTTGATGGGGTGATCTTCAAAGTGGATTTTGAAAAAGCGTATTATAAGGTTAAATGGTGGTTCCTCCCGCAGTCCTTACGTATGAGGGCATTCGAAGATTCCTGGCGGTAGCAAGTCGGTTCATTTGTATAAAAAGGTTGTGTCGGGATTAAAGTGAATGATGACATATGTCACTACTTACACATGCACAACGGTCTAAGACAGGGGGAACCGATGTCTCATATCTTGTTCAGCACAGTAGCGGTTATGTTGGCAATTTTGATAGGAAGAGCTAAAGAGGAAGGCCAAGTAGGAGGACTAGTACTACATCTAGTCGATGGTGGGGTGTCCATACTACAATACGCTTATGATACCATAATTTTCGTGGAACATGATTTGGCAAAGACGAGAAATATGAAGCTTGTGCTATGTCTATTCAAATAATTGTCGGGATTGCAGATTAATTTTAACAAAAGCGAATTGTTTTGCTTTGGGAGAGCCAAAGATGAACAATATGCTTATAGACAACTATTCGCATCTGAACTGGGTACCCTACCATTTATTTATCTTGGCATACCAATTCACCATCGCAAGCTATCTAACAAGGAGTGGAAGTGTATTAGAGATCAATTTGAAAAAAACTAAGTTGCTGAAGGGTAAGCTTATGTCATACAATGGTCGGCTGGTACTAATAAACTCAGTGCTCATGAGTATGTCGATGTTCCTTTTGTCCTTCTTTGAAGTACATGTAGGGGTGAGGAAAAGGCTGGACTTTCATCGATCACAATTCTTTTGGCAGTGTGATGAAATAAACAACAAATATAGGCTTACTAAATGGTATATCATTTGTAGGTCGAAGGACCAGGGCGGTCTTGGGATTGAGAATTAGAGGTAAAGAGCAGAGGTTTGCTCAGTAAATAGTTGTATAGACTTTCTGTTGAGACCGGAGGCATGTGGGTACAAATTTTACGTAATAAGTACCTACAATCTAAGACCTTGGCCTAGGTTACTGCTAGACCCAATGAATCACCTTTCTGGAAAGGGTTGATGAGAACAAAAGTAGCTTTCTTCCATGGAACTAAATTCGTCATTGGAAACGACAATTTGACTAGATTTTGGGAGGATACATGGTTAGGGGAGACGCCTTTAGCCACACAATATCCGTCTCTCTATAACATTGTATATCATAAGGAGGCTTACATTGCTATAGTATTATAGTCCAATCATCTAAATATTCAATTCCGGAGATCTTTAGTAGGAGACCGATGGGAAGCATGGCTACATCTGGTGAGAAGGTTGATGCATGTTAACCTCTCAGATGAGCCTGATAGTATTCACTAGATATTAACTATGACGACATCTTCTCAATGAAATCTATGTATTTGGACCTATTCGACTCTGGTCCGATTCTGAAATCGATGCATATTTGGAAGATCAAAGTGCCAATAAGAATCAAGGTCTTCATGTGGTTTGTTCACAAGGAGGTGGTTCTGACTAAAGATAACTTGGCAAAATGTAATTGGGAGGGTAGTCAAAGATATAGCTTTTGTGATCAAGATGAAACTATCAAACACCTCTTTCTTGATTGTCCGCTGGCCAAACTTCTGTGGTATTTGGTTCATATAGCCTTTAATTTCACCCCTTCAAATAGTATTCCCACGTTATTTGGGACATGGATAAATGAAGTAGAGACAAATATCGCGAGACGTATTCAGGTAGGAGTATGTGCATTATTTTGGGCTATATGGAAACTATAGAACTGATATGGTTTTTAACAAACAAACACGTATAATTTTTTTGCAGGTTATCTATAGGGCCACTACTTGGATCCGTACGTGGTCGTTACTCACTCCCGCGGAAGCCCGGGAGCCTTTGATTACTGGGTCTACCCAATGGGAGATGGTAGCTCGGTATATGTTTGCCACTTATCCATCTCTCATGGTTGTATATTTCCATGTAGTAATACTTGCAGAAAGTATGGATAGAGACTTAGAAAAAGAAGAGTCGTTGGGGCAGGATGAAATGTTCACGATCGAAGTAGTCGCTCGAGATAGCCAACCGATTGTTCCCAAGCGGACCAAGGACACATTTATACATTAGTGCGGAGTTGTTGTTAGGGACATCGTCCCTATCAGCATCCAAGAGTGGAATAAGAAGAATGACCCTGAAGTTTCTTATGTCCATGATAGACAGAAAGATGATATTTGGAACTCGCTGATGATAAATTTTAGCCTACCGCCATAGGCGGATCCAAATAAGGTCAATGAGTTTGCTCTTAAGAAGATGGCAGAACTATTCAAGAACTTGAAGAAAGATTTGAAGAAAAAGTTTGTTGACAAAGACAAGACTCCATAATTCACCGGTCAATATGAGAAGATAAAATGTCACTACCCCACCTTTGTGGCCTACAAGAAATCGGAGAAGGCTCAACAAAGGTCACAGATAAATAAACAAAATGTTGCAAAGAAGAAGTATCACCATGTTACGGGGTCAGGTGGCTACAACAAAGCACTACTAGGGAAAACTTTATACACCGAAACTTAGCAACAACGAGGTTTAAAAATAAATGCTACTGCTAATTAGCAGTAGCGATCTTCAGAAGACCGCGCTACTAATAGCCCTGTAGTAGTAGCGCTCTAGGTGAAACGAGCGCTACTACCAGAATTGCCATGGTGTTGCCTCGAGGCTAGATATAGTAGTAGTGCCCTTCTCCTGGACGCACTACTGCAAAAGTACTTAGTAGCAGCGTTTTTCTTTACAACTCGCTGCTGCTAAGTATCATCCCCTCTTGCAACTAATTAAGTTTAGTCCCATACTGCTAAGTGAACAAGGTGTTTAGCACCTTAAATATGTTACTTCTCAAACTATCTCGAGCACTTGGTCATCATCGAACTGTATGTGTAGGATTTGTGGCTGCAATATGAATCTTCACCTGTGCCTATACAGGTACGGTGAGGATTCATGTTGACTATTTAGATTCTACACAAAAAGATCAATGATGACCAATGTATATTTTTTATGTTTTTACATGCTTAGCCTTAGCAGTAGCGTTTTTTCAGGACAAAGCGCTACTGATACTGGGCTTAGCAGTAGCGCGCTCCCTGTACTCGCGCTACTGCTATAGCAAAACAAAACACACAGCCCGGCCTCCCGCACGCTCATCTTTTAATTGTTCCCCTCCGCCCGACGCCGGCAGCTGCGGTTAGGGTTTCTCCTCCGCCACCGCCACCGCCGCCACAGGTAATGCTCCTCCCCCCTCTCGCCGCCCCTCTGCTAGCTGCTCCTCCACCCTCTCGCCGCCCACTCTGTCGCCGGCTGCGACCTCTGACCGGTCGCCTTTGGCCGACCACCCTCGATCCCCTCGCTGGCCGCTCTCGTCGCCCCCTCTCATAGGAAAGTCACCGGCCTTCCCCTCGTTAGCACCCCCGACCGAGGTCACCATGCCATCCCCCCTCCTCATCAGCACCCCTCGAGGGCTGCCCTACCTAGATGCAGCGAGGGCTTACGAATTTCATATGGATAACTAGATGCTTTTGTTTTTCTGTAATAAGTTATTTTTTGCAAAATGTAGGTGCCAATTTAGTTGAAATGCTTTGGTAGGTGGTACAAGTATTTAGTTTGCAAGTGCTAAGTTAATCCCAATTAAATTTCCACTTGTTTTTTTAATCATTTATCTTAGGCAATACGGGCCAAATTAGATGGAATGTGTTGGTATGTGGTACCTTGATTTGGTAGATAACTTATTACAGATCTTAGGATTATACCTTTGGTAGGGGCCAAATAGGATTTTCGGCAATAGGTGCCCCTGAAATGCTTTCGTAGGTGATACCTTGTCATCTTATATGTTACTAGATGCTAGGATTATAATTGTCCATCAAATTGCTTCTCGCGGAAGAATCTCTTCATCTAGAGATATTCTAGAAGGTGTTAGTAAGCTAATTGAGAACTTGTTGTCTGTGAGTCTTGTTGGCTGATTTTGCATTTGCCTGCTAGCTGTTGGTTCTATTATAGAAGT